CCGCCAAGTGGAACCCAAGAACCCATTCGTGTTACCCAGTTCACCTCAATGCAGACAGGCGACCCTATTTCGAATGAATTAGTTATATCGCACAGCAAAACCAACTCTTCTCCTGCCTGTTTGGATTCTGCTATTTGTGCAAATCTTGTATCTTCAACGCCAACACATGCTCACCAAAAGAGTTTGGATATAGCAGCAAAGTACAATCACAGCTATGCGCATGATGTTGCTTTTGACAACCTTTGTGGTTCAGGATACATAACAGGAAACAAGTTAGTATCAGCAATGACAAGATAATAAATTTACTAACTTAGTGAATCTCAAGAAAACCCTCCAACGTCTTGCATAAAGCTTGATTATGAAATCAGTGAACTCCCAGCAGAGTTTGAACTGGCTATAAACGAGAACAAGCAAGTTTATTTCTTGAATCACCAGACTCAAGCCACAACATGGTATGTCTGAAATGAAACTTTTACCCGAGTTCGGATTATTCAGGTTTGATCCACGCATTCCTGAGGAATTTCAAAAATGGGGTATGACAATAGAAGAACTGCAACAAGTACACATCAACTATGCATGTCAATTTCCTTGTGGAAGCCCTATTAGCGTTGGTCTTCATGGGGCGCAGGTAAGTACCTGACACAGTTCCTGACAAACAGTGTTAAGTTTACGAAGAAAACGTATAAGAACATGACAGCAAATCCGTTTTTATCTGTTATTATCAGTTATCACCCAGGCAGCACGAAGGGACATTCGACCGTCCTTTAAGTGTTCCTTTAGGAATGCTTGCTTAAAAATGCTATGAATTCTCTTGATACAGTGTTGTTATCTTCAAAATACATGATATTGTTGAGATAACTTATTCAAATCCATATATTTCATCAAATAGCGTAAATTTAGAACAAAAATTGATTTTGAAAGAGAATATCAACTTTTAGACTAAAGTTTCGTTGTTTGATGAAGTACATGCATTCAAATGGTTTTTCTGAACAATTTCATGTATTCTGAAGATAACAACACTGTATCAAGAGGATTCATAGCATTTTTAAGCGAATGTTCCTAAGGAGACACTCAGAGGACTGGCGAGTATTCCCTTGTGCTGCATGGGCATCAAATTGAGTTATTTATCATAGGTCTGAATAATTTTGCGTTTAAAATCATATTAACAGCATTGCAATTTAGTGGGTATGAAACTTGCTAGTCAAGTTTATTAATTATCTACAATTCTTTACCAATCCTCATAAATGTTTGACGTTTTTAAAGTTAACTATTTTTGCAGAATAGTTGGCATAGATTTATTCGTCATTTTGCAGAGAAATGTGGGTTGTCGAGCTTTTGCACACTTAATCTGAAATTCAACCAGGAAATTTATCAGCACATTAAAGAAAAATGCGCACAATAAAAATCACCAACTTAACATTTTTTGGTTACTCCATTTGGTTCCAGAATCCGTTAATTTCAACAATTTTTCGGGTTAAAATAGAAGGATTTTGGAACACAGATTGGCTTTATACAATCTTTTTACTTCAAAGTGTTTATTGGTAGCGAAAATTAAATAGAGATCACTCTTTTATATGAGCCCTGTTCGGGAAGAATTTAAAAATGACCTCGAAGTCATTAAAATCCATTAAATATATTGACATTTGAGTTGGTTTGGCTGAGTGAATTTACTACAACACCCTTTCTAAACACCGATGGTTGATCAACAAATCTAATCAAGCACATTTTATTTACCTAAAACCTGGTGTGCCTAGGTTTACTAACGTTGGCTGCCAAACAGTGTATATGGTTTGGAAATAATGTTAATTTGATTGCAATAAGAGTTTATGATGACTAATTAGTTTGGTTCAGGGTTACGTTCTTTATGTTCAAAATCAGCAACTCAGGAGAACAAAATTCTAGAATTAGGGTGACTTAGAGAGGTGACTGAAGATACTTAGTTTAATCAAAAAGAGCCATAGTATGTTTAGAAAATTTCAATTTCACTTTTCATTATTTCAAAAATACAGCACCATGGTGTTTTCAAAATAACGTCATGTGTCAAGCATAGATAACTGGATAATAATAAGCTCTATTAGATTACTGTATTCAAATGGATTTCAGTTGAAACAAGAACTCTTGAGAACAAAAAGCCATTTAGTATGATAGATGATTGTTCATTAGCTTCTCGCATAAGGCTCCATTAAAACATTTTGACTTTTTTGTAGATAATAAACCGATTGTTGTTGGTAAAACAGTTTTATTCCTAAATACGGGGTAAAACAAGTATTTTTGTTTCAATTCTATATGGAATGTTGACTGATTTGTTTACAGCATTAACGTAGCAGCTGTCAAACAAAATAAATGAGGAAGACTGTTGCATCACATAATTTGTCTTTTTTAAATCAATTAGGGTGATTGATCTGCAATTTATTCTCTTATCACTAAATCTTACTTTACATGACAACCGTTGAATAACTGGAACGTAAGTTTGAACAGGTATACCCAATATCATACGATGCCTGTAATCTGTTTCTGATGGTTCTTCGTGTTTTAAAATGGAAACCAATAAACCTTAAATAAAGATGTTATTTGTCAGAAATCAAAGCAAAAAGGTGTTTAGGATTATGTATTTCACCCATGTTATGGTTAAAAAAGAATATCCTTAATGCATGTGCTTACTTTGAAGACATTTTATTAAATAAGCAGTTATACTTCCTCATGCAATTACAAAGAATTCTTCATATGTTGTGAACTGTTTTGTGGTTTAAGAACACAGGAAACGCTACTGAATGATAAATGAAATGCTTCCATATTCTTACGCACATGAAACAGTCAAACTAACCACATATCTCACTTTAATAACAGAGAAATTATGCTACTTTAGTTTGTTTGTTAAACTTGCTTTTGTTCAAATGATTTAAAGTCTAGTACGTAAAGCATATTCAGCTAGTTGTTACTCTGTGATCAATTTAAGAAGTTAACTCAATTTTCATGAGTTAGGGTGGTCTATAGGTAACTAAAATGTAAATATAATAAAAATATTTGCAAAATATAAGGGAGGAATGTTTATTATTTTATGTTTATTGAGTGTTTGGGTAAACTTTAGGATATACCTCAAAACTTTAACTTGAGAATGACTTTACAATATCTTGTTTTTGAGAATGAAATGAAGTATTCTGTTGGATAAATGATCTTTGATTTGGCTTTGACTTCAATGTTATAGATTGAATTTGAATGTGTTTTGTAAAAATCCTTTTTAGACTGTTGTAAGAATAAACACTCATTAAATGTGAGTAACCTTATTGCAATTCGATTTAGTATTCAAGTTAGTCGTTGAATAATAACTATGATCCTCAAATAAACCTTCATTTTTTCCCGTAATTAGTTTGACATCACCACTGATGCCGTAAGTTCATCTTAAGTCATACAATCTAAACAAGGAAATTATTTTTCGTAATATTGTTACTTTTTTATTATGTTTCACAGTTACAGTTACAGTTACAGTTACACTGATATTTGTTTATAAATACCAGCGCTAAGGTGTTTATGCAAGAAGGCTGACATTATCAGTAAAATTTAATAAAATATGCTGAAGATCCTTGGTTTGTAAGGAAACGGTTAATGTATCACTTTTACAAAGAATAAAAGATATCTATATTTAGAATTCGTAATCATCTTTGGAATATTATATTCAAGATACTTTAAGATACAACGGTAATTTAACAGAGGCATATTGCATTTTGATTTGAACTCCAAGTGCTCACGAGGTAAAATCATATTATTTAAGTTATACAATAACTTGAGGAAAAACTAATAAACCTTCAGTTTAAGCCT